CCAGGAAGCGTATGCTCGGACAGGTGTGAGGGTTTGAGGGAAAGACACATCAGATTTAAGAGCCCTCTGGAGGCCGTCTCTGCCCGTCTGAGAGGGCCGGGGAGGAGAAGGGGCTAGAAAATGCCAGAGGCCAGAGGCCACGCCAGAGGACGCTGCCTTCAGCAAAGAGTCTCCTCCCTAAAGGATGAGCTCTGAGCAGGTGGGCGAGAGATCAGCTTTGCTGTTTGGGGCACAGACTGCTGGAGCATCAGGCTGGAGGGAGACCTACTAGGTGCCTGTCGCCACCACCCAACCCCCGCAAAGAGATCGTGATAGCTTGGTCTCAGGGAGAGAAGCGGTAGAGGAGTGGGTGGACGGTCGAAATATAGGAACAAAGTAGACAGGACTGTGTTGGGTGGAAGGGGGAGAGAAGGGGCCTAGGACATGCCTGAGTGGCAGACCTGGAAGGCGAAAGAGAGAGAGAGAGAGGATTCACAGGGCTGGGGAGGGGCAGGAAAGGCAGGTCTGAGGTTTCCAGGGCAGAGGACCCCGTCTACAGAACTGGAGGAAGGTGGTAGGAGGAGCCGAGGGGCAGGTGAGTCCTAGGATGGGGAGCGGCAGGAAGCTAAGGGCGAAGTTCTGTTGATGGCCTGGGAAGTAGAGGCAAGGCTGTTGGCAGAGTGGAATGTGGGGGTAGACAGGGACAGCTGGGGGTTTGAGGTCCTGGGAAAGGGCTGGAGGAGTCGCTGCTGATGGGGGAGCAGAACTCAGAGAAAGGTTACCCCGAAAAGACAAGGACTCCTGTGAAGTCAGGATCGTGGGTTCCAAGTGGAACCTTTCCTTAAGGGAGCAAGTTTCTGGACACCCTTCATGGGACAGCGCAGGCAGTGGCAAACCCAGGGGCTTTCCAAGGTTTGGAATTGGTAGCCAGTGCCGTAGCATCTTCTTGCTGGCTTCCTCTGTGTCTGGAGCTGCCTGCCAGGGTCCTACCGGCGGCATAGCTAATGCCCACCAAGTGTCTGTGGGGGCCACCCAGCTGGGTTCATCCTCAGCTCTGCCCTTAGCTAACTGGAAGGTGCTGTCGCTTGCTCTATGAGCTATTCTGCAGCTCTGTTTCCCTGGGAGACAAACCAAGACCATGTCCTCCCTGCCAGGGCCGCTGAGAGTCCTCGAGGAAATGATGTAAGGGAGGTTGCACTCAGTGCCCATGCCTGAAGGAGCCTGGCGCTCACCGTTATGGCCTTGGGGTGGGGTGGGGGGGCTTCTGAGGCAGGAGCAGGAATAGGGTATGCCTGAGGTCAAACCTACCTCTTGAAAGATGTCCCGGTTGGTGTTGAAATCCTGGGTCTCCAGCATGGCCTGAAAAGGAGACGGAGAGGGGTGAGGGTTGGCCTCAGGATCAGTTCTCAGAAGAAAGCTCATCACATGAGGAAGACACCGAGGGGGGTGGGTCAGCGGCCGGACCCCTCACCAAGCGAAACACCCACCTCCCCCCACCCAGACCAGACAAGCTCTCAGAGGGAGTCCCTCGACCAGCATCAGAAGGCATGGCGTCTGGTCCCCTCTGCCACTCAGTCTGAGTGCCCTTGGGCAAGTCTCTTCCCCTCGAGGACCCCGTTTCCCCCACTGGTTCAAGGACAGGCATCCACTGAAGCCCACCCAAGTGTCCTCGCAGAAGGTAAGCGCATAGACTCCACAGCCACTTCTTACAAGCTGGATGACCCTGAGCAAGCCTCCTCTCTCTCCCCACCGATGTCACTGTATTCTCTGTATGCAATGGGGTCGCAGCACCACTGACTCCCCAGAGTGGGGCCAGCACAGGTCAGGGGGCAAAGGCAGGACTCCACTACCTCCCGCTGACTGCACGCTGACCACGCACGCACGCACCGAGCTCCATGCACATATTATAGCCGGGCCGGCTCTGAGTAACGGCCACCCCAGCTGTGGAGCCCATCGCTTTCAGTTGCTGCGTTTTCATTCAAGCTGCTTCAGCGAGTAGCGAAGAGCACCCAGCCTGTGGCCCCAGGGTCTCATCCGCGTGCACATAGCAGGCCATAGTCCATACTGGGCCTCAATGGTTTTGCCCCCTTTCTAGAGGTTTCTCCCCCTCCACCCACACACATGCATGCAGGCATACCTGCTGTCCGCATGCATGCCTCTGCCCATCCGCCTGGCCCGCCCCACTCACCTTGAACTCGTCCCCGGTCAGGCTGAGTGTGAAGCGGCCGTCCAGGAAGGCAGCCTGGGCCAGCGAGTCAAGGACTTGGTCAGAGAACCAGAAGTACAGCATGCGGGAGTCCCCCAGAAGGCTGGGCGCGAAGGTGGGGAGGGGGAGGACCTGGGAGACATTCCTGTAGATGACATAGCCCTGGAGAAAGACAGGGTGCTGGCTGGACCCTCCTCTCCCCTTCATGGTCAGCTCTGGTGAGACCAAGAGAAGCCCTGGGACGCATTCAGCCCAGGGTGCCGGTGGGGAGGCGGAGGCGGAGCTGTACTGTACCACCTGGCCTTTGTCTCTTTCACAAATATTACTGAGTGCCTGTTATGCCCAACACTGCCGATGATCCAGACAGAGCAGGGCCCCACCCTCGCAGATGTCCAGCCAGGAGTCTGGGGACCATGGCTTTCCACTCCTTCCTCCCTCGTTGACCACTCCCCCCTGTGCCTTCAGGGAGCAGGTAGTCAGCCAACCGACCACCAGTCCCTAGCAGCTTAAATTAGGGATGCCATTGCCCACTCTCTGGTCCCTCTAATACCATCATGTAGCCCAGTAGTCCATGAATGGGCTTCCCAAGTGTCTACAAACCAAGTGCACTTTCCCCCCACAGAGATGAACAGGTGTCCCCCAAAGCCCATTCTCCTGTCTCTCTCAGAGTTCTGTCATATCCACTCGGTAGGTAGCTCGCCTGCTGGCTCTCCGGAATAAAGTTCTCAGCCACCCTTACAGCAGGCGGGGACCGTGTGACCAGGTTCTGCCCAATGGGAGTGAGCAGAAGGGCTGGGACCTGCTGCGGGGTCATGCCCTTAAGCGGAGGGCCCCCAGCCCTGCCTCTCCATCTCCTCGGACCAGAAGTGGATATGTTGGTGGCCCAGTGATCCATCTTGGCATGGGAGCAGAATGACAGCCCGGGAAGGGGCGGCGCAGTATCATGCCCGAGACTGGAGGCCATGGAGCCACCAGGTCCACTCTGGACCGTGGGCACTAGGTCCGTCATGTTAGACAGGGAAAGAAACATCTATCTTGTTATTGTTTGTGGTCCCTCTGCTCCAGCCACAGAACCTCTGTAACCACCCAAAGAAGACCCAGAGCTTTGTCAGCCCCTCCGGTGAGGTGCCACCTTCCAAATGAACCTGCTACAAAGGCTGACGAAGCCACTGAGGCCCCCACGCAAGGGCTGGAGTTCTGCTGGGCTCCTGGGGCTACCGGGAGTGCTCAGAGCAAGGAAATGACCTGCCTTCACAGAGGGAGCAGGAAGGGCACTTCAAGGGTCCTTGGCAGTGACCCTGACCATCAGTGTACAGTCAAGGACTGAGGCTGAGGAGCAGCCAGGCTGAGCCCCTGCTCCCCAACCCCCACCTTATGGTGAGACTCCAGGTAGGTGGATTTGATGACAGGTGATCTGGTCAGGGAGATGTCCACCTTGATGTCTCCGTTCGAGAGGAAGTGCGCTGCGAGGAAGACCAGGGAGAATGGCTTCAGATCGGGAGCCAGCCCTTAGGGGCCCTAGCGGCCAACCATCACAGGGTCACAGGCCCTCTGTCTCCAGGACTGGTTTCACTGTGACCTGGGCTTTGGTGGACTAAGAGTCAGGGGAATGACCGGCCATAGTCTGAGTGTGACGGTCACCCAGAGTCAGTCAGGAGAATGACCTGTCAGAGTCTGAGTGTGACGGTCACCCAGAGTCAGTCAGGGGAATGACCGGTCCTAGTCTGAGTGTGACGGTCACCCAGAGTCAGTCAGGGGAATGACCGGTCCTAGTCTGAGTGTAACTGGTCACCCAGCGTCAGTCAGGGGAATGACCTGTCAGAGTCTGAGTGTGACTGGTCACCCAGCGTCAGTCAGGGGAATGACCTGTCCGAGTCTGAGTGTGACGGTCACCCAG